TGTCCTGGTATTTACTGTTAAAAAGATTTGGATAAAGAATAAGTTTGGATTTTTGTGTATAAGTGAGTCAAACTTCAAGGTCAAGGTCAAATTTGGTGATAGTCAGAGAAAGGTCTTGTCACAAGGAAAACACGTGTGAAATATGAAAGTCATAGCTCCACTAAATCAAAAGTTATAGGCAAGGTTAAAGTTTCTGCAGATAAACAGAGAGACAAGTAGACAGACAGACGGACACGACAAAAGCTATATACCCCCGAAACTTCGTTTACGGGGGCATTAAAATATTAATTATATAGTAAATAGTGGTAAAATGTAAGTAAAGTCCAAGTAATGTTATTACTTTTATACACAAATTTAAGTTAATATAAATTACTAAGTAAAACTTTTTAGTGTGTAAGTAAAACAATTCTTTAAAATACAAAAATCAAGTAAAACATTTGAATCTAGTAATTGACATATATTTCAGTAATTGATTTTAAATTTTAAGTAAATGCTTAGTAATTATCTATTACTTTGTTATTTCAAGTAAAAAATGACTACTAAGTAAAACTTTTTTAAGAGTGACGTGGTTGACCGAGAAAATGTTGGATTGAAATTCTAATTTGAAATGCATTTTCAATCCCCTTCAGCTACTCTAGAAGGCACGGTTTTTTATGCACCCAGAAGACAAATACTTTTAACTCCCAAAATTTTTAATATATTGTTTGAAATTCATATTCATATGATTTATTTTTAGCCTTAAGAAGACATATAAAATTCATAGAAGACATCGATTAATTTTTTTTTCAGAGGAGAGCCATTTGATTCCAAAAATGACGATCGAGACAGATCACTCATACACAGGACAGAATATATTTATTTCTAGAATGACTAAAACTTTTTTTTTTACTTTTGTCTCCACTGAAAACTTTTGAAATATTTTCTTCTTCATTAGCATGTTTGTTCACCCCCCCCAACATGCATATACAAAAGAGAAATCAATTTTGTGTTTCTTATTGTTATAGTAGAAGACTAAGCTTCCTGTATGAAACAAGCGCCTGTGTTTATACCCCTCCCCCCCCCAAAAAAAAAAATACATTTGTATGCGTACCCTGACTATCAAGAGCCAATATTCTAGATGTAATGGGGCCCTCAAACATACACGTTTGGGAAAGGCTTCCCATAAGCAGGCGAAGGAACTCCCTTCTAGGGCCACCCTGATCCAAAGCCTCTTCCGATGCCCCTTCATCATCAGTAAATTTCACAAATAAGGTGTTTTCAGGTGAAAATGATGTTCTTTTGAATCCTCGACAAGCCCCATCCCAAACATTTTTAAGCGGTTAGCTTCGCTAGCCGCTATATGGCATGTGTCGACAACCGGAAACCTCCATAAGGCGCTACCTATCGACATCGCTTTATCGCACGTAACCTTATCCTTCTGCAACCAAAACGGAAACTTCCACAAGGCGCTACCTATCGACAACGGTAACTTCAGGAAAGCGCTTCCTATGATTTGTATACTAACTGTTGGCGTAATACGCCCCCTGGTGAGAGATTGACAATATGCTGTGTATGAAGAGTGGCTATCTATGGTGGCATATTTCTGCCCCTTGTGTGCAAGTTATTTTTCTATCAAATATGTCGACATGCAAGATAAATATGTTGACATGCAAGATAGTTATGTCAACATGCAACATAAATATGTTGACATGCAAGAAAATTGCAATCAGATAAGTATTATGAAAAAATCTTCAAAAATCTCAAATATCGCCCACATGTGACATCTAACATGCTTAATGTTACTTATTTATGTTAACATGCAAGATAAATATGTCGACATGCAACTTATTTATGTCGACTTGCAACTTGGTTATGTTGACATGCGACATAAATATGTTGACATGCAACTTATAAGTAGCATGTCGACATAAATATGTCGCATGTTTACATAAATAAGATGCATGTCAACATATTTATCTCGCGTGTAAACATAAATATGTCGCATGTTTACATAAATAAGTTGCATGTCGACATAAATAAGTTGCATGTTAACATATATAAGTTGCATGTCGACATAAATAAGTTGCATATCAACATAAATAAGTTGCATGTCAACATAAATAAGTTGCATGTCAACATAAATAAGTTGCATGTCAACATATTTATCTTGCATGTTAACATAAATAAGTAGCATTTAAAATGTTGGATGTCACATGTGGGCGATATTTGAGATTTTCGAAGATTTTTTTTATAATACTTATTTGATCGCAATTTCTTGCATGTGAACATATTTATGTTGCATGTTGACATAACTATCTTGCATGTCAACATATTTATCTTGCATGTCGACATATTTGATAGAAAAATAACTTGCACACAAGGGGCAGAAATATGCCACCATAGCTATCATAACGATTATATCGAATTCTTATTAGTATTTACCAAAGCATTGACAATACATAGAACACTTACTTCAAAGAACTGAGAATTAGGTCCTTATTACACGTACATCGTGCGATCGCGATTTATAGCAAATTTTAGTTTATTTTTGAAAGTTGAACGATACGGTTTATTATACAGCAGATTGAAGGTTATTACAGACTGCAAAAAACATCAGCAAATCTCTCGATCGAGTTTGAATTTCCTTGCCAATGTATTAAGAAACACCATTTATTAAGTTAAGTTATAGGCCTACCTGAAAAACGCTTTTATAAAAACACCGAATGCATCTGTAAGTTTGACACTTTTTGTAACGTTCTTATGGAAACAATAGGATTAATTACCTTCACAATGTAACGTTTGCTTTTCTTCTCTTTTCTTCTCTGTCTAATAAACAGATTATAAAAGCTCTGCTCCCAGGGATAAATTCTCTACTCCGTCTTTAATAATTTATAACAAACGATCATAAGGGATCACTTACTTTTAGTTTTGAAAAAAATAATGGGGCACTTAAAGTAGTAAAATTATTTTTTTTTAAAAAATGGAGAAATATATATTAATTTTAATCAGCATTGTGATTCTCTTCTAAAAATCAACAGATGTTATTTTAACGGAAGAATGAGGTATGGAAAATTTTGGCAATTAGCAAAAATTTAAAATATATTCTTAATGCTTTTTTATAAGTTTTGAAAATTTGATCAGTTCCTAGGGAACGTATTATGAGCTGTGAAAATACTTTTAAAATTTGAATTTGTCCAATTTGTCGATTATTGTTTTTAGCGGGTTTTTAGCGGGTGTTAAGAGGCACATCGATAGAAACGAAATCAGTGTATATTGTTTAACCGACATATTGAAGAAAGTGACACTGGTAACTTCTTAAGTTACACTGATTTTAGTGTACATTTGAATTTTTAAATACTAGTATTGATTGATTAGACAACTCACGTTTTATTTGAGAACAATATTGCATGAAGAGTATATGGCAAATACACATTATATGTATTTATCTAGATATATTGTGCAAGACTTCTTTTGAATGATTCTCATATACCATTTACTTTATTCGAACATTTACTTGTTTGAAAAGTCAGTAAAGGACATTTCATAAAGTTTGATAATCTTGTTTATTCGCCAGTCTTCCTGTAGAAGTAGTAGTTTATAATATCACTAAACGGAAGTATTCACTATCTGTATCAAAATTCAGAATGATCAATGATCGATTTAAGAAGAAAAGCTGACTCCTGAAAATTCAAGAGATGGGATCCGTTGCCCAGAAGAAGTAAGCATCCCTCGTTGACAGGTTAATTATATAGCCGCGATGAGCCTACACAACTGAAGCTCTCTGATATCAATTCATTTACAAAGTCTCTGCTCAGTCATCCTTTTTTCCCTGACTAGCCAGCTGTAGATCTACACTACTCCAAATACATTAATCTAAAGAATTTAACTTGTCATTTTTTTAGTTGTTTGCTTCTTCGCTAGTCAAGGGTTTCCGATCCGATACCTACTCTACAACCCTTGGCAGATTTAGTCCTATCAAACGGGAACTTTAATTGCGCCGCCTATCCCCGTTATTGAATTAAGTCCCTTGAAACTATATAATATTTGTCCAATGAAAATAGCTGTAACATATGTAAATCAATATGACGTTTGAAACAATATGGCGACCTCCATGCAGCCTGATGTAAAATATATCCTAACAACCTCATACAGCTGTGGGCAGCGAGAACACCTCAAACGTGATAGAAGATATTGTTCTTCGTGGATTTTTTGTGAAGAGTTTGACTTTTTTTCTACATGTTGCCGTATCAATTATCATCAATGAGCCGTAACATTTGATTGGCTTAAATTGATGCACCTAAAATGCGGAACACGGACTTATGTGGTCCTTTCAATAATTCTTGAAAACATATATTATCAAAAGAAAAATATTTCAAATGAATTACTCCCTTGTTTTTCAGCATAGATTACATCCTAGCTTTCATCCCGTGTAAATATTACTCTTCTTTTGCATAAAACACGAACAGACTTTAATTCAGCCGAAAATCGTAGATTAGTAAAAACCTTGCGAAGACTCGGACTTCGCAGCCAATCAAATTCTTTTGCGCGAGTACTAAAATTTTCAGCTAAATCTGCCAAGGGTTGTGGAGCAGGTATCAGATCGGTAACCCTTGGCTAGAGAAGTTTGCTATAGTAGGCTTTACAATTACCTAATATCAGATTCAATAGAGCATAAAAAACAATTAATTTTTCAACATCACCATAATTGTGCCACCAAGAGAGAACTTTTAAAAATGCACTTCCTGTCTTTCAAACTGAAGAAATGTTATGTCAAATTTTGAAACATGCATTTCAATCTAATTAAAATTTATTTAAATGTTCCAAATCCGCTTCCGCTTCTGACATATCTAACATCCCATTCGGGGTCACATCAGAGCGACCTTTCGATTATGAATACACGTACAAGTAAACACAAAAACTTTGGCTATGTAAATTCAAGCCGCAGTAAACAATTCTCAAATTAATTCCATTGATTAATTAATACTGTCTTACGTTGAATTAAAGTAACTTTGGAATAAATTTCATGTATATTCTGCAGTCTGGCATCTTAACGTGGATAATGCAAACGAAAGAGCACAAACTGTACAAGATACCCCACACGTCATACATAACACAGCTTTTGCAATGCATATTTTTTTTTTTACTACAAAACTCCACGGGTGTTTTGGTTCGGTGGTGAAAACAAGAAACCCATCTGAACTATAAGCCAGGATTTCGGAGGAACCATTTTCTTTGGCTAATCGAAGATTCACTCTTGCATGACCCTAAATAGGATGTTGTTAGATGTTTGAGAAGCAGTAGTGAATTCGGTACATCTAATTTAAATTAGATTGCATCCATCTGTGACATCAGTTTGGAATGTTATTGGTTTTACTATTAAGTAAAGTATTACAAAGCAGAATGTCTGGGTTTTTTTTTCTCTGATGACATTGGACAAAGATATGCATACTTAAATATCATCTTTTTATGCACTTTTTCGATGCATGTTAGATGAAAGCATGCTAACCGCTTTTCAGTACTTTCAGTACTTTGATTTCTATTGATGTTGAATCTGTTTATCTCTGTCTTCTTAATTTTTTGACTAAGATCCATCAAAATGTCTTTGACCGTTGTAGAAACTACTTCCCTAAAATAAACATGCTAGAAATTATTCAATAAAATGAAAATACATGCAGCATGCAATTACACAAATAAGGCACGTAGCAACAGGAGGGGGATGTCCTCCCCCTTTTTACAAACATAACTTTATACTACTGTATTAATAATATTCATTATGGATGGGTGCCCCGCCCTCCTCCCACTTATACCCACAGTAAGGTAAAAAAAGGGTAATATAGCATTATATGTAGATAATATGGTACTGAAAAAAGTCCAATCCCCTAACCACAACCATACCCCCACCACCACGAAATACGATTTTCGAGTTTGGGCAATTTCTATTTTTTATTTGATTGTTTTTTAAGATAGAATTTTTTGTTATCTGACTGTCCCCTTTCAAAATTGATGCTACATGTATGTCACTGCAAATATCTTTATTTATGTAATATTTACTGAACATTGTCCTCTTCCTTATCAAGAAGGGGCGGTAGTGGTGAAACTGTTTCATCCTCTTCATCATCGCTTTCATCTGGCAATATGGTGATGTACTCACTATAAAGATATTGTTTTTATAAAAAAAAAACATACAACCTATAATTTAATTTAAAAATATTGTTGATAATTTATAACATTACTAATAAAAAATATAATATAAATACCTGTAATTTAAGCAATGTGCCCCTGACATCGAAGAACTAGTTGATGGCTGGTCGTCCTTTTGTCTTTGAATGTTGGTTTGGGTTCTTTTTTTCCGAAACTTTATTTCTGGAGTGCCTGACGAGTCCCAAGAATCATCCAAGTTTATTTCGGGTAACTCGTCAGAGTCGGAGTCTTTTTGAACTGTTAAAAAATGAAATTAATGCATTAGCAATTAAACACATACAGAGACGTCGAAACCGGAGGGTGGGTGGTGTGGTTATCCCCCCTTATTTGTAGACATGTTCATAATATATAGGCATTTTAAATTGGTGTTTATATACATTTTTTGTTCAGCTCATACCTCCTTTCTATACCCCCCCCCCCCCCATTTTTAATTTCCTCTTGACACCTTTGGCATATGGGCAGATAAAATCGTTTAAAGCTATTGTAAAATAAATATTTCCAATGATGAATTCTCCGCTTTTTCTAAGTTATTTTTAAACATACCTTTTTCGTACTCCGTTTTTGGACATATATATAGTGGTACTTTTTGATAAGGAAATCCAAGAAATTCCTTGTATCCACGAAGGGTCATGGGAGATGATGTGCCAGGAATACAGGTAGCTAACGAACCATCTTTATACAGAAGAACGTAACTGGTATCTGGTAGACCTTTATTAAGAAGGATATGCTTTTCCTGTGCTAATCTTATTAAGTCACCACCAGTGCTACTTGGTAGGACTTCCAAGGTAACGCCACTACCTCTTACGTACTTTGGTGCCCCTGCGTTGCATCTCATTAAACCTACAGTTATCTAATTTGAAAACAGAAAAAAAGATATACATGGAAGATTAGGACATATGAAAATTAAGAACCGCACAAAAATGATCACAGTTAGAAAAAAACATATTTTGCGATATTTAGCATATTTGTTGAATTAGAAAAAAAAACATATTTTTTGAAATACACTAGATGTAATTCAAATTTGTCATTTTGGTCGCAATTTATGCCGATATAACTATATTAAACCAGTAAATTTTGATTGTAAGTAATGAAACTTAACCTAATTAAAATTAAATGTTAGATCCGCTCGCATACTCGCTTTTCTAACATTGATGGATACAGTGTGAAGTGTGGTGTGTTCATAAACCTACTATAGGAAAAAAAAATCTCCGAACTCAAAAATCCTAATTTGCTATGCTATGCTATGGTTGAAACCTTGTTTATGTGTAATTATAATATGTATGCTTATACAGTGTAATTGGCGAACATATATCATATATTCAGTTAAAAATCAGCAGGACGCAAAAAAATAAATAGTGCACGTGATCTACAGTTGTCAAAAAGGTTTTAATTTATATATATACGTCGTTTCAACAGATCTGCTGGTCTGTATACTGAATTCAAAGGATCAAGGGACATTTTTTCAAATTTGTACCATTGAATTAATTGATCTGTCAGCAGCGTTTTACCGCATGCCAAGAAAACTTGTAGACACATTAGAGCGAACTTAAACGTTTATCTCTGATTTTTGTGCGCGGGGCCATTAATGTCATCAGTTTTGAGGGAAGGATCTTAAGTTTTACATTTCAGTTAGAATTATAAGTATTTAGATGCCTTTGTGTCCCTTTTCTTTCTTTTTTTTTTGTTGTTGTTGTTGTGTGTGTGTGGGGGGGGGGTCTAAATCAAATGCTGTTATGAAGTAAAATAAAAGAAAATGAAAATTAAATTAAGAATTTTAGTTTTACGAAAAGAATGAGTTATATATACAGCATGAATTCTTTACCAAACATTCTTTCTTTTCTTGTTACATGTCTAGATGTCAAGATCACATCATAATACGGAACAGTCAATTTTACGAACAGTCGCAGCTATTGCAGAAAAAAAATTACATAACCCGCTTACGCGGGTTAATATGTATTTTTTCTGCAACAGCTGCTTCCGTTCATTCCAGTAACAACAAACAAAGAAAGCATTTTATTGTTTAAATAAATTAGCCCATCCATCCTTAAACTGTCCATAAATTTTTAAGCAAGATGTGTAACAGACAAGACAGTGGGTTCCTTTGAGAAAGTAATAACGGTAATAAATGACCCATAAGTAAAATGAAGGTATTTCTGGTGGTGAATTAATTTTAATATACAGGTAAACGTGCAAGAATGCCAGGGCCTGGGTTTATAAGCAAAAAAAAAAAAATTATTATTTAAACTGCTTTCCTAACGTGAAAACCCTATTTCAAGTTGGTGGTGGTGATTAGTTTGGATGTAGGGATAGTCGTTGAATTCTGAAGCTTCATACCTATGACTTTTAAGTTTTAATATCAACTTCATGCAGATTTCGATGGTCTGCATTTTCAAAGGGGTGGAGCCCAAGCTCACTTTTTAGTTAATTTTAAATAATTCAAATAAGTCTATTTTTTCCTTTTAAAATTGTTTCATACACGTCAACTCAACCAGAAGGGTGTCATCGTCTCAAGCCACGGTTCTGAGTCTACATGTTTGTCTCTCTCAATGGGAGAGGATCGTACATTTTGGCCGTGGTTTGCGATGATGAAAGATTGTATGTGCGTGAAAACCATGTATTCTGCATTTATATGTTCGCCTGAAAGAAAGTCTTTAGCTATACCAACCTTGACACGCCCTTCGCATTTTCTACCCTTTTTAGAGAAAGGAAATGTAGTTCTCCGTTCCTGTTCTTTTTCTCTTCTAAAGCTTTGAAACTCATCAAAAGTTGGTAATGTTACATGTTTTGTTCTTTCAGTGCCTGTAGTTTCTGTAAATACCACACATTGTATTTGTGATGGATAACTACAATGTAGAAGTTGTTTATATGAGAGAGAGAGAGAGAGAGAGAGAGAGAGAGAGAGGGGGGGGGAGCCCGAAAGAGAGAATCTGTACATATACATACCCAAGGACTTGTCAATTTTCTTCCCACACTTTGAGCAATAATTATCATTCTGATTAGGTGATCCACAAGAAGAACAAAATGCCATTTTAGCGACGTCCTTATGAAATGAGGGGAATGGTGAAGTAAAAATATCCACGAAGTAATCAAATCATCCTCGTTATTGTTTCAACAACCCGTGATTTATGAATATACAGATGGGGCGCTAGGCTTATCCCGGAGGGAATTTTATAATACGATACGCAAGGTCTTGACCTTTCAGCGATTCAAGCGCTCTTTGAATTGGATGTCATTAATTTTAATCAAGCAGAAACAGCCACCCTCTTGATCTTCTATGCATAATGCCACACATCAACAAATTAAGTATACCGTTAAACAATTATTGACAATTTACTTCAAACATTAGATTGAAGTATTTGTTTCAGTTGATATTTTCTCTTTCTCCCTCACTCTCCTTTTTATTAAATAATTTCTTTTTTTCTTTTTTTATAATTCCGTTTTTCTTTTTTTTTTAATAATTTCGTTTTTCTTTATTCAATAATTTCGTTTTTCTTTATATATCAATTTCGTTTTTCTTTATTTTCTTTATTTAATAATTTCGTTTCTCTTTATATATTAATTTCGTTTTCCTTTATTTAATAATTTCGTTTCTCTTTACATATTAATTTCGTTTTCCTTTATTTAATAATTTCGTTTCTCTTTATATATTAATTTCGTTTTCCTTTATTTAATAATTTAGTTTCTCTTTATATATTAATTTCGTTTTTCTTTATTTAATAATTTCGTTTCTCTTTATATATTAATTTCGTTTTTCTTTATATATTAATTTCGTTTCTCTTTATATATTAATTTCGTTTTTCTTTATTTAATAATTTCGTTTCTCTTTATTTAATAATTTCGTTTCTCTTTATATATTAATTTCGTTTTTCTTTATTTAATAATTTCGTTTCTCTTTATATATTAATTTCGTTTTTCTTTATATATTTTTGGTTTGCACTATTGGGCTTCCGTAACTTGAGGTACAAAAACATATAAAACATATATACAAATAATACAGTGGGTCAAGCAGAAGGTGATAATTAAGGAGAACAGACAATACTATTAATTTTAGAAATAAATGTACATAATTGTTTCAAAGAATCAACATCATTTTGGCACATGATTTCACAAAACTTGATGATATTTGGGTTAGAGCAAAATTTTTGGTTCAAATAAACTTTTCTTAGTTGGTTTAAAGCACTACATTCTAAAATATAATGATACTCATCTCCTATCTGATTACTACTGCATAAGCTACAAACTCTTTCATTTCTTTGAGTACCATTCCATCTACCTGTTTCAATTGGGAGGTGGTGATTTGTGGTTCTAAACTTAACAAAAGTTTTTCTAAATTTAAATGATAACAGTGTTAAATATTTTTCGCACTCAAAATTGGTTTTAAAAATTCTATAATTTAAACTTTTTGAAGATTCTTGAACTTCACTATTCCACTTTTGAATATATTGATCTTTTAATCTTTGTTTGACTGTAGCAGTTATCCATTCTACATTATAAAAATATTGTTCGTGCTCATACCATATATTTGATAAACCACATCTATCAAAAATCTTTTGTACAAATGATATCCATGAATTTTTTCATTTCCTCTTTATCATGTTGTTTACGTAAATACATATATACTATTCTACACAATTTGTTTTCTTTTCCATTCACAATTTTTGCCCAATATTTTATCATTCTTGAGTAAATATTTATGTATAATGGAAACCTACCAGTTTCTCCATAAATCATATAACTTGGAGTGCTACTTTTCAAATTCAATATACGTTTTAAATAACGTAAATGTAGTCGTTCAATAATATCGATATTTTCATACCCCCATATTTCACAGCCATATAACAATACTGGTAAAACTACTTTATCAAACAAATCCAATTGACATTCGAAGGGGAGATTAAACTGCCTAATTTTAAGTATCACACCATACATTGCCTTTTGTGCTTGTTCACATAGGTGTTTTCTTGCTTTACATAATGAGCCTGTACGAGAAAATACAATCCCTAAATAATTAAAATCCTTGACTACTTCTATGATACTGCCATTATATGTAAAAATATTTTTCACCTTGTCGTACACCAACATTACAATTAAAAAATTCAGATGACAGACCATTCATTTGTATTTTAGATTTTGTAATACTATACATATTTTTAATAAAAGTAAAACATTTACCATTGACCCCACTTCTAAGAAGTTTGCACCAAAGTCCCTCACGCCAGACTGTATCAAACGCTTGTTTAAAGTCTATAAACGCACAAAACAATTTTCTTTTGCTGTTGATTAATGTCTGAGATAAAAATTGTAATAATAGGATATTAACAGGATACTTATGTTCACATGCGAGATAATTATGTTAACATGCTACTTATTTATGTCAACATGCGACTTAAGAGCCATTCTCTGTAATGATTTGAAATTTTATATAGGAGCTGTGGCACGCATAGTCTTAGAATTTCTCCAAACTCTCTATGATAAAAGGCATTGATACCCTGAACTGAAATCAGGCAAAAATTGGTTGCTATGTTTTATAGTTACCATGGCAACATGTCTTAAAGTTCGAAAAATGGCATTTTTTAACATGTTTAGAGCCCCATAGTTAACATTTGCGGCAAAGCAAACAATTGTTAATGACTGTTTCCAAAAGTTGAAGGTAAGATGTTTCAAATGCATGATAAACATGTTTGGTAAATCAACTATTACATACGTTACTATGGTAACAAAGTATTCAAAAGTAAAAAAAATATTCATTGAATTTTATGAAGTCATACTCGTAAAAATGAAAAGCAATTATAGGATGAAATGTTACCAAATAATAGAAAAAAGAGCCTTGAAACACATACCAAGAAAAAATATGATATTTCATTTTGGTTGGCAATGGTTGCCAAGGTTTTTATGCCCCAGAGAGCCTTCAAAGTAACACTATGTATGTTTAAATATGATCCTATCTTTTAAAAAAAGCACATTT